AAAGGCAGGAATGGTGACGTACTGATTAGAAGGTTGACATGTTCTAAGGCTGTAACTCGACTCAGGGGAAAGGTCAGCTGGCATCAGTCCTTTGGTGTGCATTTAATGAGGGCTTCCCAAAGTGTTTGATATGCGCTGTTTTATTCCAGCCCTGAAGACTACATAGACACAGAGTCTCCTGTTCCTCCAGATCTTAAGAAACCAGATTGTACAAAAATTCTAGAGCTTCCGTACAGCATCCATGCTTTTCAGCATTTACGAGTAAGTGGAAATTGACAAGAGTTTTTCTATACAATTCTCATTTAACAAGGCCAAAAATACACATCAGATTTCAGATTTCATTTTTTCCACTTCCAAAACAATTTTGTATAACTTTCCTGTTTTCAAAAATAACCTCCACCGTATATGCTAGAATTTTTAACCAGTTGTAGCTTTTATATTGCTTCCTTTTTTTCTATGTATGTTGTAATCATTTCCCTTCCTCTTTTACAGGGTGTACAAGAACGCGTTAATCTTTCTGCACCTCTGTTGCCTAAAGAGGATCCAATCTTCACTTACTTATCCAGACGATTAGGAAGGAGTATAGAAGACATAGGTCATCGCATCCACGAAGGGCTAATGAAGGTGGGAATACCACCTAATTACTTTAGACCCCAAACAACCCACCCTCTGCACGATTACCTTTCAACTAGCGGTATTGCTCTTCTGGGAAATATTTACTTCACTTCTGTTTGTATGAGGATTATTGTTAACGTTGCCTGTGTAGATACTGAGCATTTGATTAATGTAAGACCAAGGTAAAAAAAGTTTTGATGGCACAGGTTTACTTTGGCATAGATGGCATTGGAAGGTAGAGAAGAAAGTTTTATTTGAATCGCTTCAATTGGTGCCCATAAAACAAAAGAATTTGCACTCAGTGATATGACTTATTGTTTAGATCTTCAATTGGGAAGACAAAAGAATTTTCATTTTTTTATATTCCTGCACATGGGAAGTAGTAACATGAATATCCTGAATTAGAACAAACTCTATAAATAGAAATTCCTCCTGGTTTTTGTGCATGAGAACTACTTCTAAAGAAAAAAGTAAGCTAGGCCTCAGTTATTTTTGTGTAGCATTCAGGAAAACATGGATATTTGATGAAATCCACTAATACAGAGGGGCCAAGAGAAATTTTATTTGACTTTGAAATGCATTATATGATTGCTTTTGTAACAGATTCAACTTCCTACTTTTGTTTTTCTTTAGCTAATGTTAAAATTAGTTTGCATTCCATGAAGACGCACCAGGTGCTGGCAGGAGCCCAGGAATGTATGTGATGGATAATGAGGGAGAATTGGCCCAGAATTGAAAATATTTCTGAGATGATTGCATGTATATAACTGAGTGGACTATTTATGTTAGCCTTGCAAATTAGCCTAAACATACAAGCCCAAGACTGAAAGAACTAGTCTGAGTCCAAAGCAAATCAGTTGTCAAGTGCCTGAGAAACTTTTAATGTAAAATGAAACTGGTTCCATTTCTTTAGACAAGTGATACCCATTCTCATCAGGCATATCAACATTAGCACATTTTGGAAAAACCTGTTGGAAAATCTGACAGCAAAATGACACATTTTTAGAATTTTTTAAAAGATTATCTTTCCAGGCTCAAAATAGGTTTTTTGCCTACCTAAACCGATGTAATAATTCAGAGAGGGAGAGGGAGAGGAGGAAGAGGTTGAGGAGGGAGAAAGAGAGAGAGAGAGACGAACATTATGAGCATATGTGTGGGGCTTTCCAATACTAAGCTGGCCGTAGGTTTATTACTTTTCTCCTATTTTGTGCGGTAAGAACTGGATGCAAATCAGATGTGTTCTGTGAACCCACAGTTTTACTGATTTGGAGGAAAACTCCTTAAGGCCACTGATAAGGAAGCTAGGGACAAAATTGTATAAATGTCAGCCATATAGATAGAATTTCTCTTGACCAAAAATCTTTATTCTTTACCAAACCAGAACCATGCATGTCCCGAAGGTATGCTAGGTCTCTCTGTATGTAGATTTATTAGGACAATAAATCCATTAGACTTGCCTCCTTCAGTGTTTCGAATCTCAAATGGTTGGTGTTCTAAAATGGGAAAAGCCAGCTGGCTTTTGATGAGCTTTTGTGAACCAGCTTAGTTCCACTAAAATGCTATCTCTCACTAAGCGTCAAAGATATATTTTAAGAGAGCCAAGAGGTTTGAATTAGACTCTAAACATACCTCTGCTGAAATTGTTTCTTTAACTGAAAATTAAAATCAATACGCCTTTCTTAAGCCCCTGAATCTGTGCTAGGCACTTTGCTAAGCATTGGGGATACAAAGACAAATTGCCCTCAGGAAGCTTCCGTTCCATTGGTGACAGTACATTCCAGTACATTTGGGCATAGATTACACACCATTGTTGAAACGCTGAGACTCACATCTTAATTCAGGTTCAGTAGAAATCATAAGTTTCGCTTGTTTGAGTCCATAATGTTTACCCACCCTTTTAGCAGTCAGCAATATTTCTTGACAGATCCAGTCCATATGCTGTCTACTGTATTTTTATGTTGTATAGTGTTTAATTAGGCTTTCTATTGTCTGCTTGGGCTAATTTGCCTGCCATGAAACTTCCTAAGTCCCTGTGTGTTGAGGGCACCACTTTAGAGGATTGTAAGCTGAAAAATGTGTCTTGCTATGTGTCTTACTTAATTTTACTTTCATTTATTTACTTTCTAGAACTCTTCTTCCTGGGTACTCTATAACCTGGCCTCATTTTACTGGCGAATAAAGAACGTGCCCTATCAGGTAGTGGAATGTGCTATGCGAGCCCTCCACTTTTCTTCCAGGTAATTTACCTCTCTTCTGCCTCCCCATTAATCAAGACCAGTAAAGAAAGAATATAGAATAAACCACAAGGAAGGATCCCTCCAGAGTATTTGATTGAGCAGAAGCACAAGATGGAAAGTTCAAAATGATATGCGAACATCCCCTTTTGATTTCCAAAGGAAAGATGTCCACAGTACAGAATCTTTCTCCTTAGACTAAGCTTTGTCCATCCAGGGGTCCTGGCAGCCATCCTGGGGAAATCATGATCAGGCTATCAAGTTTAATTTCTCCTCAAGCAGGTAATCCATAGCACTTTTTTTTTTAAACCATAGAATGTGACTACACCTCATGGTGGGTGATTCTGAATTTTGGACCATTCCATTCAGCAAACTTAAATCCTTGCTAAATGCAAAGCACCAGGTTCTGGGGGAGATGCAGAGATGAATAAGCTTTTGTCCTTGCTTTGAGGAGCTTCTAACCTAGGAAACTAAAGCCATTGCAGGTGAAGTCAAAGTCTGAATCTCAGAGATCGTTTTAAAGGATTATAACCCTCCCTTTATTAACCTGTCTATGTAACCTATAAAAATGACCCCCACCCCCCCTGAACAAGTTCATTCTCTGTGTTCCTTCTCTAGCCTGGGAAATAAACAGTATCAGGAAGAAGCCTGTACTTTCACATCATTGACAGCAGAAGTTCAAAATCTGGCTTGAGTTTTTGCAATTATTATCATAAGCACACCAGGAAAAAAAGATGACAGGATCATATGAATATCCAAATCTGAAGTAGCCCTGCTCTCCTTACCAAGAGTAGAGTTGTTTTGAGTTCAGAGGGGGGAAAGTTGTTGTTGTTTTTCCCTCTATTAAAACACAGTAGGATTTTTCTATTGAAGGACACTGCTATTTGTTGGAAATAACCCAACCAAGGTAGCAATCCAGACCTGGTCTGTTGCGCTCTGTACTGCCAACCTAAATGCTGTCGAATGACTCTTTTGAGCTTTAATAGGGCACATCTGGGAACATGGTGGAGATTTGAGTCCTGACGCTACCCTTTGGCTGTAGGACTGAGTCATTGAGTCTCTGTGAAGCGCAGCTTTACAATGTGTGAGGTTGGGGGGGGGATGCCCAGTGACATACGTATTGTGTTCCTCACAGAGATGGAGCATTTTGAATTACAAAGTACCGCATCAGCTTGAGCCAGCATCGTCATTAGCATTGCAGACTCTGCTGGTGGCTTTGGCTGGTTCACTTACACTCTTAAAGTGCCTTTGCCTATAGAAAATGGGGTGGTCATTTTCACTTGTGTGATTGGCTGCTTGGGTTGTTCGCCACGTCCGTCATCAGAATAAAGTCGTGGGATGTATTTGCCTCATCCCGTCTGTCTCTTCTCTTTCAGGCACAATAAAGACGTTGCGTTGGTGAACCTGGCGAACGTTTTGCACAGGGCCCACTTCTCCGCGGATGCTGCTATCGTGGTGCATGCCGCACTGGACGAGAGTGACTTCTTTACCAGTTATTACACTTTGGGAAATATTTATGCAGTAAATACAACTTTTTAATTCATGAAAAAAAAAAGCAGGCCTTTTCTTTTTTTTCTAGTACCATGTCATCTCTTTCTCTCCCTAATTCTTTTCCACTTAACTATCCCCTCCCCACACACACACACGGTAGATAAAGGAACAAAGATTTTGTTCTTTTTTAATGCTCAGCATATTAATGTATAATGGTTGTTTTAATTAAGTGGATTAAATTCCATCTTTTAACCCCATTCCCCCCCCAAAAAAAATATTGGTAAGATTAAGGTCACATCTCCTAGGATAGTATCACCTTCCAGCTGACCTACCAAATGAACTATCTTTTCATCAAGTTGAGGAAACTTAATTACTCATCAGCACAGTGGTCTTCACAAACTAAAGTATCGACGTTTTATTAATCATTTGAAGTTTGGGTCTGTTGGACATCTCTAACCTAGGTTTTCTCTCTTGTGTTTTTTTTCCTCTATGTATATTTTTCTCTTGCTCTTCAGATGCTTGGGGAATACAACCACTCTGTGCTCTGTTACGATCATGCTTTGCAGGCCAAACCTGGGTTCGAACAAGCTATAAAGAGGAAGCATGCTGTCCTCTGTCAGCAGAAACTTGAGCAGAAATTGGAGGCTCAACATAGGTAACTTGGAGCAACAGACTTTACTCTGGGATGTTACAAACACTGTGAAACAGTAAATCAGAACTATACGGGAGTAATAAGACCAGTCTGTGTTGATGTCATTTGGAAGTGAGTTTAAAAAAAATAATCTTTTTCTTTTTTTCCTTTCCCCCAAAGACTCCAGATGGTTTAACATAATTCAAGAGATGTAATTATGTTATATCTCTTGTATGAAGTTGTTTGGGGAGACATAGCTTGACCTACAATATATCTCAGCTTCTGTTGTAACAAATGGTGTTATAGTAGCATTTTGTGTTTTTCCCTTCCTTGCTTGGGCTATGTACATATAATAAAGAACAACATAGTCAGTGTAGACTGACCTTGATGCTTTTCAGTCAAATTTTGTTATTAGGAATAGTAAAGAATGTGATTTCCATTAAACCCTGGGGAGGCCTCTGCAGAAAGTAGATTGGAGAAAAGGGCTGAAGAGGTGACTAAATTCAACTGTATGGGCAAAGAGCTGGCCTTCAGTAGCATCTGGTATCACATTCCTGGTCAGAGCTTCCTTTCTTTTTCGCAAGAGTGAACCTCTTCACAAAGTTCGTTCTTAAATTAAAAGCAAAGTTTATGGGACGTGTAACATGTAAATTGAGACAGCAGAAGCTTAGGCAGAAAACTAACAATGTTACAGTCTCTTAGAGGCCAATGTTTTGGTCAGGATGATGAACTGGACGGAGTATTGGCGTGAGATCTAGGCACTGGGGTTGGAAAGCCCTCTCTGCTGTCAGCTGTCCGTGTGACCTTGATCAAGACATAGAACTTCCCCATCTCTTTCTTCGTTTATAACATGGAGATAAGAATACCTGTCCTTCCTGTCACGTGGGGCTGTCGAGAGGAGGGAATACACAGAGAATGATAAATAAGGACAAGTGAGGGCATTTGTGTGTTTTATGGTCTCGTATATTATGATCCAGCCCTCCCCTGCCTGCCTGCTTCCATGCCTCAGGGTGGCACAGAGGTACCCATGCCCATGAGGCTTAAGTCGGAACCAATCCTACCTAATGATGGACAGGCTTTGGGGACAGGCTAACTATCTTCTCTGCAAATGCCAGCCTAGCTACTGCCTTCAGATGGTCTCATCGCTGGGGGTCCTTGCAAAGTGATACCTTTTTGGGCCAAAGCAGCTCTTGCAGACTGTTCCTTACATCTAGACAAGTTACAGCATTCCCTGTGGAGCCTGTCCTCCTTCCCCTCAGATCTCTGATCCCTCAAGCATTAGGTAATAATTAGATTATTGCATCATAGAATAAGAAAGAGCAATGGCAGCGAATGGACGTACAGCCAACACAGGTTTTGTGGACAGAGATTGCTGCTGGGGCTTGTGATCTACAGGTCTGTATTATCATGTATCATGTAAATAGGTATTGTGTGTGTCTGAGCAGCTCAGTCTTCATCCTGTGTTGCCGCTGCTACTGCTGCTACTACCCATTCGGCCGAAGAACAGCCAGCGTTTTAGTTTTCCATTATGGTCATTTCAATGTAGAGGTTACATTTAAAATCACAATTTTAAAAAGCCAATGAATTTTTCTGAGAACTGAGAACTATTCGCATCTATTTGGGGGGGGGGCGGGTGGAGCACTGAGGGGGGAACCATTTTCTAAAGCTCTGTAACTTTTCCCCGGTGTAAAAACTTTTAAAGATCTCTGCAGCGCACCCTGAATGAGCTCAAAGAGTACCAGAAGCAGCATGACCACTACCTGAGGCAGCAGGAAATCCTAGAGAAGCACAAGCTGATTCAGGAGGAACAGATCTTAAGGAACATCATCCATGAGACCCAGATAGCCAAAGAAGCCCAGTTAGGTGAGCCTGGATTAGATGCGGTCACTCCAGCTCCTTCACGCTTGCTGCCACATGCCTCCCAGTGAGGCTGTCAAGAAACGGAGCTCACTTAACTCTTCCTATCTTGAGTCATGTCGAAGTGAAAACCTTTGTTTGCTAGAAGCTGATGCTGGGACACCTTTTCCCTCGGAAGAGTATCCCGTAGCCATGTACAAAGCCAGAGGAGCACTCCTCCAACAAAACTTGAGTATCATTGACCTAAGATCACCTGGGACATGGCCCTCACTGCGGTGCAGGCACGGGCTAGACTGTGTCGAGCAGACCTCCTCCAGGCCAGAGGGGAATCACATTCAGCCTAAGCTGACCCAAGGGCTCTCTGTCCCCTGAGGTTCTAATGAAACCGAAGGTCACAAATCTGATTGCTCAGTACCTTCGAATCCCTGTTGCTCTCCTTGCCTCAGAGCTCCCCCCACTCCTCTCTGTCTTCCGCCAGGCTGTCCACGTGATTATCCAGAAGCACGGATCTGGCAATGTTACTCCACTCCCTGTTTCCTCCAGGGTCGGATTGCTCACTCTTCTCTTTAAGGCCCTTCACAAGCTAGCACCAGCCAGCTTTCCGACCCTCTTAGATATCAGTCTTTTTTGCATATTCTGGCCCAGCCATGCTGGCTTTCTTGTTCTTGCTCACATGTTGCTCTCGCCATCTGTCTCCATTTTTTTTTAAACAGATTCTCCCCAAAGCCTAGGATACATTCCCCTCCCCATTCCCACCACTTAGCATCCGTGATTTCCTTTAAAGCTCCCCTCAAGGGGTACTTCCTACCTGAGCCCCTTCTTGATTCTCCCCAGTTCCTAGGGCTGTTCTACACATCTCCCCCCCCCATCTCCCACCACCCCCAATGATCTTGTGTCTCTTTTGTGTCTTAGCCTTATATATACATGCTTTGTCTCCCTCGTTAGACTCCACCCTCCATAAGAGCAGTGTCCGTTTCATTTTTCACTTTGAATCCTCTGGGCCAGGCACAGTGCCTGTCACATAGAAAGCACAAAATAAAAATGTAGAGGTTGTGGGGAAGTCCCTTAACTACCCTTCATTTTCCTTTCCCTTCAGAAGTACTTTGAACTGCAAACTATCCTGGTTACTGCAGATTACATGTATCCATTCACATAATATTGCCAATAACTTTTTTTTCCTTTGACACCCAGATTATAGGCAGTTGGACAAAAGGAAGAGGATTCAAGGGCATTCTGTGCTTGATCCAAAACAGCTGGTTAGGAAACTGAGTTCAAATTCAACCTGAGATTCTTACTAATTGTGTGACCATTTAACCTCTCTCAAACTCACTTTCCTCATCGGTAAAATGGGGACAATAATAAATGCACCTAATTTGTAGGATTGTTGTGAGGATCAAATGAGACACTGCTTTGCAGACCCCAAAGTGTCACAGAGATGTTAACTCTCATTATTATAATTTGTACCTAAATATCCTTGGGACACCTGTGGTTTGAATTTAAGCATTTCAGAGTGGTCATTTTGCCTTGCAAGATCTTTCAAGTGGAGAAGTTTGTAAAGAAAAGGGCTGTCAGATCATCTAGTGCAAGCCTCTCATTTTTCAAGTGAGGAAACTGAGGCTCAGAACAGTTAACAGTCTTCAACTAAGAGCATTTTCTCTTTTGTTGATTTTTTTTTTCATTTATGGCCTTACTTTCCCCTACCAGGGAATCATCAGATATGTCGTCTGGGCAACCAGCAGCATAGCTTACATTGCCAGTGGGACCAACCTGTCCGCTACCACCGTGGAGATATCTTTGAAAATGTAGACTCTGTTCAGGTGTGTTCCTTCTCAGTCTCTTCACTACTTCCAAGCTTGCTGCATTTGAGAGCGCTTCCCCTTTCACGCTTTCCTCATAGCTCAGTTGGAATTTGTTTATCTCTGAAGTTTAGCAATTTTAGTAAAATCTTCAGCAGATTTTGGTTATTTGTTATGACTTCTGAAGCTAAATATTGTTGGACCACAGTGACCCATATTACCTCTTTGCTGCCTGAAAATTCACTACAGAAATGCTTTCTTATGATCAACTTCATTCTTCATTTCATCCTTGTGTCCTTTCTTGTGAGCACTGGGTGGGAGTCAAGACTGAGATGTTTTTTGGTTTTTGGGTTTGGGTGTTTTTTTTTGATTAAAGCCCCCATCTTCCCCTCTCAAGCTAGCAAATTAAGCACTGTCCGTTACAAACTTGGAAAGGTAAGTAGTTGGCATTAAGCCTGTTCTCTGAATTCATCAGCCATCAAAATCATTTGTTTTGTTATTGCAGCCCCAAAAGCCAACAAAATCATTACCAACATCAGTCAACATTTATTCAACATCTGTGTGCAAGGCATTGTCTTTGCCATTTAAGATATATCGAGAAGTATGAGAAATTCCCTGCCTCGTGGAATTTACAACCTAATTAATTGGAGAAACAGAATCTAGTGAAATAATATTGCAGACAGAAGGAAATTGCAACTACATAGAAGTATGGTTCACAGTTTCTTCTTAGGGAGGCAAATAAAAGAGTTGGTGGAGTTTGTTTTGTGGTGTGTCCAGCGGCAGAACTAATTCCCAGTGGCATTCAGTCACCTCATGTTATAGTGGTAGTGCTAAGCACTAGAAAAAGACCACTATGAAAATCAGTGTAGCTTCTGGTCTAACGTCTGTTACAGAGCGCAAGGATTTTGAGAAATTTCATGAAGAAGTCAATTAGACTGCAAATTAAACCAGCACGTACTTTAAAACTCAATGTCTTCAATGTTAAAGTGGTTTCTTTCTTAAGTGGCAAGGTAGAGGAAAAATATATATGTGTATTTTTTAGATGTGATTCAAGAGTAAGGAACAATCATGGTAAAGGGCTTGTAGATCATATACCAAAGCATCAAGCATATGTATGTTGAATGCTCTCTCCAAAAAGCAAGTCGAGAGAAGCTAGACATGACAAGCACCAGAAATTAAATTGAATTTATTTTAATAGACAGGAAAACACTGGTTGGGAGTCATTTCTAAGTTTGGCGGTCTTTGTGCTGTCAGGCCATTGACATTAGAGATCAGACTCAGTGGCTAATTAAAGAATATGAGAAAAAGACAGGCAGCACAGTTGAGGCAACTCTGTCTAATCTGACCTATTTAAACAAGTTATTGAAATAGAAAATTGGGAAATGGATAAATTGACATTGGTAAAGATTATCACCATTTCCTAAGAATGTTTAATTGATACAAATCTGTCACCACAATAAAGAGATGATGAAGGGCAATACTGATCTCAAACGTGAAGTTCATGAAATCTTGGGGTGGGCAGAAGATCAGTGATGATCATCAGCTCAGATAACAGTGAAAAGCAGTGGAGGGAGAAGCAAGTTTTCAGAAAACTTGGTGAGAGACACAATTAGGAAATCATCCTGAACACGCTTTTAAGGCTAGAATTAAAAAGAACAAGAAGAATGGAAAAGATCTGCAAAGATTTCTATAGTGAATTCTTTTTTCCTTCACTGGCAGTGGATCTGCGATATTTAGACTCTTAACTTCACAGTGTGTGTGTTACATAAGCAAGTGGAAATTGCACTTAGGAGGAAAAAACGAAAGGAGTAGTTGGGCTAGACCGAGTGTACCCAGGGGTTCTGCACTGGAAGCTCTAATTGTGAGCATGAATGAAAAGAGAATTCAAAGGTTTGGAAAATATCTTAAGTCTTATTATTATGAAAAAAGATGAGGGAGGATAGGGCGAAGATACTTGCATACCAACAATCCCATCTCCATAGACATGGACAGTGTGCTTGGTGAAAGTGTGAGAAGAGTATAGGTAGTCTTTGACAAGTCAGTCTCTATCAGATCACACCTGTATCATCACCCATTGATTGAAAGGTGAGCAATCCCACCTGTTATTGACTATAAAAAAGCATTTCATTCAGAAGATCAGGACATTGTCTCAGAGGCTCTCCTCCAGCGTCATGTCTCAGAAATGTCAGAAAGTAAAAAAGAGATCACTTTGATCCCCTGGGTATTAATATTAAGAAAGGGAAACATAAGTGTTTGCCACTTTCATGGAGGATGGCCATCATAGAGGCTGAATGGAACAAGGATCCCTTGTAGACAGTGAGGCCCTCTGGATATTCTTGTTTGTGAATAAAATTGTGCTGACTGTATTAGACTCTGAAATATTTCATGGCCTCCTAAGTGAGATCCATAATCATTCAAAAAAGTTTAGCTTAGCTATGCACACAGAAAAACCAAGTGGATGAAGAATGCCTGTTGTTTAGACTACAGTATCCAATTGGATAGCAAACCGTGCAACAGTCCTACATGCTGCCCATGACAGTGAGTTGGGTCCTTTTAGGCACTGGTGAAGGAGAGGAGGCTGTATTGCCTTGAGGACATTTTAGATTGCTTTTAATGATCCCCAGCTTCTCCATGAAACAAAAGCTCATCTTTTGAAGGAGTATTCTTCTAGTGAGGGTTTATGGCTGTGAATAACAGCAGTCTTTGAAGAATTAAAGTTCAGGTAGATAGTCTA